GAATGCCTCACAAAAGTTTGTGCACGACCCATTTCGAAGTATTTCCCCAAATGCTTGCTTTAGCATTTCATAGGTTTCCGTAGCGGTTTTGGCGAGTCTTTGGCAAAATTTGATGCACCCGCCATTCCGAAATCGCAGGAGGGTCGGTGTAATGCACTAGCAAAACGCCCGTAACTAAGAAACAAATGCTAATTCGATGATGCCGGCTGGCACACTGATTCACTATGAATGTAGGCCGCACCCCCTAGCGGCAGAAGCTCGTACTACATCCGGTTCGCCCTCTATTGACACAGTCTCGAAACTTTCCGATCGCACCTCGTATATAACCCACTTAGTGTCATTGACATAATTCGTACTACTATAAACATCAAAAGAAATTTTCAGGTCGTGTAATTATTACACGTGTCTACTATATTTCCATAATTTTACAACCGTCAAACTTAACTCCCAATCAGTAAAGAATAAAATGCAAATTACAAATGTCTGTGTAAACCTTCGTTATATACATCATATTTTTAATTTTAAAATAATTACAGGTGTCTGTCTCATTGCCATAATTATACAACTGCAGCTGAAATTCTGCCCTTCAAACCGTTCATGTCGGCTACCTGATTTCGGTACACACAGTCTTTTATGTATCGCTATAGGGGAAAATGACAGGGTGTGATATCCGGTGATCTAGCCGGCCATGAGACGGGTCCGCCAAGACCAATCAATCGGTGTGGGAGAACCTGATTAAGAGATGCACGCACAATGAAGCTCCAGTGTGGAAATATGCCGTCTTGCCGGAAGAACACGGAAGGCTGAAGGCTGCAGTCCTCGTGACTGTGGATAAACAAACTTTTCCAGCACATCCAGGGAATTACTGTCTCGAATGGGCTCTCCTCTATCATGAGGATGTTCTGATCCCCAGGTGCGTAAGTCCTATTTCTTTATCTTCCATGTAACTTTGAATGTAGCCTCGTCAGAGAACAATATTTTCCTCAGGAACTCGCTGTATTCGTCCAGCTTCTCAAGAATGGTCACCGAGAATTCCTTCAAATTACGGCCTACCCTATCATAAGGCGTAACTGCCTGTATCACTTGTAACTTGTAAGCCCACAGACATAAAAGTTTTCGTAATAACCGATGCTCTGTCAAATGCGCCATTAGCAACTCACAATGTTGCAGCTCGTGTCGACTTACGAGAAGTGCGGACAAAGATCCTGCGTATCTTTTCGACATTTTCATCTCACACACACGTGGAAGCCCTGTGCCTTTCTTGTGCAAACTACTTCCGGTCTCCTTAAATTCTTTGTACCAATCACGTATCGATGGTCTTGATAACAACGTCTTGTGATAAGCTCTTTTCTAAAACGTCCTTGAACCTGTATATCCGATTTAGTTTCGATAAACTACTGCACGCAATACGCCTTCTCCTAAGGGCTCAAGGCGACTGATCTGATTTACAAAGATTGATGCAGTGCAGTGGAAAATAACCGGTGTTACCATCTACCGAAAAATCTGTGAAACTTTGAGAGTTTCTCTCCAAAATGACACTTAAACAATGTGTCTATGTCTTTTCATAAAGGTTTCATTCACATGTAAATTTGTAAAGATAATTTAAACACACCCTGTATATTGCGGATAATGATGAAACAGACACCTAAATGACGTTCATACAGACATCCAAAATACAATATTTAATTCAAAAACCAACCACATAAATCACACATCATCCCACAACCCCTTCTCACCGCAGAAACGATGATCAAACCAGCACACAGTTAGTAATCAGCAGTAGACGATGGATATCGAAGAAACTCCATTACAATTACGAAGAATATCAAGACACAAACGAGTTTAAAAACATATTGAAACACAAATACTACATAAATTTTACAGATAAAATGCAGCTAAAGGGAAACTGATCGAAAGGCTTCACACAAGTTTGAGTTTCATTCCAAGTAGGCGATCCCGAGATTAACATAAGCTGGACATATTTATAATCGAATTTATGTTGAAACGTCATACTTTCTATTTTAGATATGCGAACTGTTGGAGGCAAGATGTCGGTAGGTCTGACAAGCTTTAAACTCAAAAGGCGCCTCGTGCATGTTCCGTAATAGCGGATTTTTGAAGAAAAACAACTTTCGTTGCCATATTCGCATTGTGCCAAATTTCTGTTACGGAATATCAAGTCGTGTCGTCATGACCAACCAATGAAGTTGAAGCGGTCTCCTGGCGATTAATCCACTTCGGAGGAATTACAAATTAATCGGCCAATGCTCCAAATTTAAAGTTTTAAACCATGCTACAATCAGAACTGGGAGGTTGGGGCCAAGAAATTTAGGCTTTCCTATATTTAAATATAAAACTTTGGTTTAAATATTTTCTTTTCAAATGGACTCAATGCCGACTCTGTCGATTCACGAAATGGGTCGAAATGTGAACAGATGTTCTATCCAATCGACGCCCGCACCTGATGCAGTATTTTACAATCCTCGTAACCAATACCAGCAAACAGAAATTAAGAAAAAATTACTAAATACGTTATTATGAACATTCAGTTTCCGTTATTCTTACCGTGCTGATGCGGACACCCAACAGAGATAGCCTGACGTCCATCCACGTCTGTAAAGCAAATAAATTATTATCAAATATACAGAATATATCATTCAATAATAATTAAGGATATATTTGCTTCGACATACCTTCGACCAAAGACAGCAAATTGTATGACTCTTTATTGCGAATAACACTCCGACTTCAATTAAATCCTATCCTGGTATACTTTTAGAGAGCCACGATGCACTGATCTGATCTAGGAAGGAATTTGTTGTTTGATTTCCATGAGGAATCATATTTCGAGGCCGTTGGACTCACGATGGACTAGAATTCCTATTTGTCACAAAACATATCACCAGAGTTATACTTCGACGTCTAAATACACTCACTCTGAAACAACACTTTCCTTGCCAAACTCCAAATTTAATAACGGAGTCTTTGCTGTTTACGTTGTTAGAAACAACCCAAGATATTGAATTAGAAGCACGTGGCAATTTCACATCTACATTTATCAAACTAAGAAGTTGTTTACTCGTCTAATAATATTTCCCTGGCATTCTTTACTGTATCTGTCATGATTTAATTCTGCCTACATTTAATTCGGTATCAATTTATTCGTGATTCTATGCTGTATACTTAGTTTAGCCCACATTTATTTGAAAACCATCGTCTAGAGGCTTGTGAAAGAATATCTGAGTTTATATCTTATTTTTTATATCAGTTGCAGTCTACCGTCTCTTAATATCGGACACACAACACACCAATTACAACCCGGTATGTTTTACTACCTTTTACTACTTTTTATTATGATTCTTTTACATTGTATTACGTTATATTACGTAATAACTCTTTAAATTATTATATTTCCTATGTCAATATCCTTGCACACGATTTGAAAATTAATTTTACAGATATAAAACATCCAAGCACAACCTCCAAATTTAAAGGAAGAGACAAAAACTTAAAATTAAACAAATCAAATTAATCAATATACGCAACGCAAGATGTACAACAGTTTTTAAAATATATTAAAATTGATCGACCTGATGATGATGTAATACACATTGAAACATGTCGTCGATACAAAAAATGTAACAAAAAATGTAACAAAAAATGTAACAAAAAATGTAACAAAAAATGTAACAAAAAATGTAACAAAAAATGTAACAAAAAATGTAACAAAAAATGTAACAAAAAATGTAACAAAAAATGTAACAAAAAATGTAACAAAAAATGTAACAAAAAATGTAACAAAAAATGTAACAAAAAATGTAACAAAAAATGTAACAAAAAATGTAACAAAAAATGTAACAAAAAATGTAACAAAAAATGTAACAAAAAATGTAACAAAAAATGTAACAAGATGCAGTGTCTACTGAGAATGTTATAATTTTAAGTAATTTTAAACAACATTATTTTAAGTTTGTGTATAGACGGAAAATAAAATATTGTATCAATATCTGAGTTATTCATTTGGTATACAAGCACCATGACATTCACTTAATCACCATTACCTCAATAATCTCATTCGGCTCTAACGGCTTTCCACATCTGATATACCGTAATTGGCCCGAAGGTTGATTCAGCACTTCACTACACCCCATAAGCGCCTAAGGTTATATACCATGTGGTCCGGCCAATCACGCAGCATAATTTCACTGACAGTCGCCATGTGTATCCATGGCTCTGTGGACTTGATTCGACGTAATCAGTGTCAACGTTTGGTTATGAAACTATCGTGACAGACACAAACGTGCAACTGTATATCTTTATCTTAATCAAGTTACCATCTCGGCCTATACGCATATATGATAGAGATTTATTAAATTACGCAACATTTTGAAACGATATATAAAACGTTTATTTGAACTTTTCGACTCAAAATCACCCCAATAGTACGTCGTTAAACTGTGGACATTGCGTTGTGGGACAACCTATACAGCATGTATTCATGTTTGCAAGTCACATATATAAAAATAAGTGTAAAATTTATCTTAATATAATTTAAACTCAGGATTATTAGATTAGAAAATTCCCTTCTTTGCTTATCCGTTCGCTTAAAGTGTTCTTACTGTCTAAAGAGTTAGTATTTAAACGGCCCAACCGTGAAGTTAATATACGCATTGAGGGCTTGCCCGATAAAACGGGAGGAACGTGAAACTCTCCAGTTCCTGTCATCGTACCGGGATTGTAGGAAGATATTTCCAAGAGAATTTGGCCAAGATTCTAGTTACGTACTGAGATAACACTAAACCCTTCGTAAGACTTGAGGTTCTCACAGCGGTGAGTATGAAGATATCGGGGCAGGCTACACCTTTCACTTCCCGGCCTATAAATCCAGCTCTTCATACCCTATTGGCATACTCATCGCCCTGATGACGGAGGCAGTATGACCTCTGAAAAGTTGGTTAACATCGACCAGACTACACAGCGCAATAACCCAGAAGACGGATATCTTCACTAAACCCTTCGTTTAACAAAAATAACAACGCAGATAAAGTGTACATTTACAAAGTTTCTGAATCCCCCGGTTATACGAAACTCAAAAATTCGTCAGCGTCACTTAAAATATGTGCTGCTACTTTGTTTTATTAATACCCTATAGACGTCCCACGACTTGTCACGCCCGACAATTTATTTTTGCCAATAAATATTAAATTTCCACTTTCAGCAGTCACACCTTCCAAGCTGCATCTCGACATTCAGTCCTTAGGTTCACAAATTAATTTCGACACGTAATTGGAGATCGACTCACGCTGTGACGATTACTACATTCATTCCGAAAGGATCCGGTTCGCCGGTCAACACAGGCTATTCGGAGAAAAGTTATAAATTGTTTATTTCAATCTCAAATAGTATATGACAAAACTGCCCATGTAATTTATAACAGTGTGACACGAATACATAGTTGATACTGTGGTAAATTTGTCAATAGGTTCTGAACGAGGGTGTGTCATAAACAATTTCAAATTCCTTCATATTTTTCCTCGTCTATTTAAACATCTGCCACGGTGGTCTAGCTGTTAGAACGCTGGCCTTGTAATCCTGGGGTCTCGGGTTCGATTCCCGGCGGTGCCCGAATTTATAACTTGTATTGGGCAAGGCCGTGGTCTAGGCAACACGGAGTTTTCCTCCGGGGGCTTCCCCGGTTTCTCCGTGGCATCCCAACAATTACTCCATTCACACACAGAAGAAGGCAATGGAAAACCACTTCTGGATCATCTGCCAAGAACGTATATGAACAGGTCCCAGTCCGAGAAAAGGATGGAAGGATCCTGTTCATATGGACCTGTCGCCAGACAGAACACTACAAATAAAAAAATAAATCTATTGAAACACTATATGACGTTGCGAAATGTGACTGCCGTTCAGTCAAAAATTGAGAAGGGTTAACACCATTATAACTCAAGGTGTCTCCTATTTCGGGGTGAGGAAGGGAATCATTTTGACTGAAGGCCTCCATCGAAAATTATTAGAAAGTAATGGGACACATCAGTTTCTGGCCAATGCTGATGATGTTAACTTACATGATAAGAACATGTCTTAAGTAAAAACAATAAGTGTATTAGAAGCTGCTCTAGACTGAAAAAGTGGAAATAACCAAGTGTACATCCTTGCATCGTCGCCAGAATACAAGAAAAATCTGTCGTAATTATGAAGAAATTTAACAAATCTTTTGGAAATGTTGCCGAATTAAAATATTTAGGAACGACATTAGAGGATGAAAATTTCACTCGAAAAAATTAAGGACGAACTAAATTCGGAGATATCATTGCTTCCACACAGATCAAAATCTTCCGTTCTTCAGTATGCTATGTAAAAACGTAAAGATTGAAACATGCTTTAACGACATCGGTCATTTTACTTGGGTGTAAAACCTGGTTTCTTTCATTACCGGAAGAACACAGAGAGAGTTTCAGGACGTGATGCTTAGGAAAATATTCGGTCACGTGACATAAAAATGTAGAAAGCTGCACAACGAACAGTTCCACAGTTTCCATTCAACATCAGATGTTATTAGCGTGATATAATCAAGGAAGATGTTACGAGTGGAGGATACAGACGGATGGAGAAGATGAAATTAATGCAAAATTCTGATTTGAATATGGCGAACAGAACATTCGTAACACCAAGAAATATTTTTTTATTTGTAGTGTTCTGTCTGACGACAGGTCCATATATTATGAACAGGATCCTTCCATCCTCTTCAGGTTGTCAGGGACCTGCTCATACATATATACATTCTTGGCAGAGATGATCAGAAGTGGTTTGCCATTGCCTTCTTCTATGTGTGAGTGGAGTAATTGTTGGGATGCCACGGAGAAACCGGGGAAGCCCTCGGAGGAAAACTCCGTGATGCCTAGACCACGGCCTTGCCCAACACAAGTTATAAATTTGAGCACCACCGGGAATTGAACCCGGGACCCCAGGCTTACAAGGCTAGTGTTCTGACCGCTAGACCACCGTGGCGGTTCAAGAAATATACGGAAATATAATATTAAAGTCGAGCGGCTGTAAATGTATTTGTCTGAAGGGACAGGTGGCAAACTCTTGTGAACACGGCAATGAAATATCCGAGTCTATAAAATGCGGAAAATGTATGTGTTTTTGCTCTCATAATTAGGTTTCTAAGGATTAATTTTCTCCATGAAGTCAGTAAATATATTTTTTTTTAAATCTATCGGAAGTTCCCATAAACTTTAAATGTTAAAAAAATACATGCTTTGTCAGAGAAATCTATCACAGCGGTTCGAATTTGGGCCGATCTGTCCTATAACGCGACTGAAAATGTTAGATTAAAATTAAATTATTTGGTTATTCCGTCAAATCACAATGTATTTAAAATAAGATAATTAAGAAAATGTTAGGGCAAAACTTCTTGACAATTCCCTGGAAAATGACACGATAGACCATGACTTTTTTCTACATCACCACTGGTTCATTACTCTCCACTAAAAGATAACTAGCTTTCGCGAATAACACATTGTAATACAATGTTCCTACACGTTTGGCGTAGAAATTCAACCAGTTGTGTGTACAATTTCGGGGGGGGGGGGGGGGAAAAA